GATAAAACCTAAACAATACCCATCCCTAATCTCAGGTGATATCTGTCTGTGAGCTCAGTAGCCCAACAAGCTGCTCAGACCTTCTGTTTATGAGTGGCAGCCATTAAGGAAAAAGCTGGCTTTTAAAACGAGGGGATCTTTGTCAAACAGTGGATGAACCCAAGACTAACATAAAAAAACATTTTACAAAGCTGGCCTAATATAGTTCAAAGATAGAAATATAGAATTTGAAATGAGCAGAATATAGTTTTTTCACAGCACTGTAATTATTACTATACTTGTTACTATGACTGACTGAGAAAGCAGCAGAAAACATTCAGAAAATGTCTGGCCAACTGGCTTCAGGCATGCTTAGACTCGTTTCCACAATGAAAGCAGATCCCTGCTAATTTGGCAAAAGAGCTTGTTTGTGAAGTTTTTCCTCAAACCAAAATTTCACCGAGAAAAACAATTCACTCAGACACCGGCTACAGGAGCAGTCAGGGTTAAATGACACATTAATTTTAAAAGCTACCCCCAGATAATTGAGTGTTGTTAAAAGTACTATCAGCCATATTATGTTTCAAGCACCAAAGTCCTATATTTTGTTATTAATTTGGTCCACTTATTGTAATGGATCATTATGAAAAGAAAAAGAACCTCTTACTTTCAAAACAGCCATTCAATAAGTTAAGACATGTGCCTTTTTAAAAAATTTCTACAATATGTCATTTACTAAATCTACCTGCCAGTGTTCATTTTGACGGCAAATATTGATTTAGTTTGAGTCATAGGCTTTTATTCTAGTTTTAGTCAACTAAGTCCCAAGATTGTAGAAGACTAAATCTAAAGTTGATTCAGTTGACTAATATATGAAGTGTAGAAGTTTTATCCGTTCAACACGGTTTACAAGGGATCTTATTTTCATCTTGATGCATGCTCAATCATCCAGGTAAGTAAATCTCCAAAAGTTGATTCTGTTCATCTGGACGTAGCGTTTTGTGGGAGAAACGTTTCGTCACTCATCCAAGTGACTTCTTCAGTCTCAGCCGAGTCCAGGTTTCCCCAATCTTATGAACACGTGAAAAAGGAAAGACCATCTCTGAATCGAGGAGGGGGCCTAAGGGTACATCTTTCGCCATCTTACAATGCTGTGATTGCAGCCATTCCCCAACTCTGTGAATAGTACTTATGGCCATTTATCAGTGGGTTTTGGTCAGTTGCTGTTGATCAATGGTCATGAGACTTTGCATAATTAAGATTAAGGAACTGACCTCCCAGCCCATTGTCCCTTCAGTGGGCTGGTTTCAGTCATTATGCAAATGTACTATTTATAAGACTGGGGAAACCTGCAGTCAGCTGAGACTGAAGAAGTTACTTGGATGAGTGATGAAACGTTTCTCCCAGTGAAATCGCTACGTCCAGATGAACAGAATCAACTTTTGGGGTATCTTATTTTCATTGACATCAAATGAAACACATTTCCCTTCTGTCACATTTTCCTGAGAAACAGGGAGCATGGGAGTTAGCTGCACTCCCCGTCCCACCCTGTTTGTCTGCAGCAGATCAGATGTGTGTGTCTAACCTTACTGCACAAGGAAATTACTTGTAATTGGCTACTTTCCAAACACGTCCTACCTTTCTACATAACTTAACTAGTTCTGATTTAAACGTGCAGAACAAATTTCATTTTCCTTCTTATTCGTGACAAAAATCTCAATACATTTTGTCATAGTCTTTGTCCTTCGTTTTTAGTTTTCATTCAATTATCAACTTGTTTTCTTTAGAAAAGGCCGCTGATGAAAACTATGATAAAAATTAACTGGTTTATTAAATTGACTTTCTACCTACAAAGTGAAATATATTATATGGACACTTGTTGTTTTGATGTTAATGCCAGAGCAGGCTTGGACCTCTTCAGTTACTGAGTCGGCAGACAGCACAACTTTCTGCTGTTTAGTGGCGGTTCCTAAACACACCAGTTTGCAATAATGTCTCGTACGGTTAATCGTGGAATATCTAGGGGGGAAGAAATTTTACAGATTGACTAGTTGTAACTTTGGGATCCTATCACAGTACCATGCTTGAACTCGGTGAGCTCTTTCGAATAGCCAATTCTTTCACGAATATTTGTAAACACATACTTTACGTACCCATTTTTTTTGTCCATATAGAGTCTGTTGAATATGGATATTATGAAATCTATGTCACTCACTCATTTAAATGGTTTGGTATTTCTCATCAACAAGTAAAAGCACTGGGCCTTGGTGAATATTGGGAGGGCGGATGAAGACCTTGTGTTGTTGAGATGAAGTGCGCTGATGTTGACAGAGTAATCGAAACTAAAGCCTTGTTGTCAGAGTTGTGGGCCCAGATTGGACTGCTGCGTGAATCATCGTAATTGGCTCTTGTCTCAGTGGTGGAGAACAACATCCATTAACAGAGAGGATTTAGAGGGAGGAGGTGTTAGTTTGGCTTTAGCTTATGTTTGCAGCTCGAGAGGAAAACGATGAATATTTATGGGGCTGAATCTGTGTGTATGTCTGTGAGATACGATTACGCCGTGCAGACCAACGACAATCTCGTAAAACTAAAATTTAATTTGTATTGTGTGTTGATTTCTTGGTTAGTAAATTGTTACGCCATATATTCAGTTTTACTGCTTTTAATCTGGGGTAGGCTCTGGGCTGTTTTCAGGCTTTAGACAGGTCCATGAAGGGAGACTTTAGCTCTCCACTGTTTTCTCCAGACCAGATGAGATGACCAGCATCGGGTGTTGCAAAGAGTTAAGTAGAAGATTTTACTTGGGACAGCAGGGTTTAAATTCAGGGTGAAACCAACATCGGGACTAGCTTAATTTTAGCGCAAAGCCTCCTACTTGTCTGGTGGGAGAGGCTGAGAACAGAAGGAGAGCTGCAGGAGATGGAAAGCTGTCTGTTTTTCAAATTCTGGCTTTTTTGTTTGTTTTGTTTTGTTTTTTCTGCTCATCTTAGCTTCAATTAACTGTCAGAATTAAGTCTGTAAAAAATCATTATCTACAAATAATGAGATGAAATAATATATGCATAAACAAGCAAACAATCAAATGATCTATGCATCATTAGTGATGTGATGTTTTGATTGCAGGACGTCATCTGTAAACCAAGGTTTCTTTTGACAACACCGATTCATCCACATCAGTATCCAGCCTGTAATGAGTCACTCAGGATGCCATTCATCTCCACAAGGCGACATGACTGCGACATTCATTTATCTATCGAGGCAGAATTACACCATTTACTCATCCAACTGGACATTATTAGACTGTTCATTCATCTAATATGAGGCCATTACAGCTGAAAGACCTGTTTCAACCCAGGGAACATTAAACCTGCTTCTCAATGATTAGACTCCACTCTGCCACTCATGTTGTTATACTCTGAGTCGATAGGATTGATGAATAGCTGTCGTATGAAACACTCATTAGATGTTAGCCTTTCAATTTTAAGGACTGTTTGCTTCTCCAAGTGTTGTCTGAAGGCATTAAAAGCCCCTCAGCCATACTGGATAAATCAAAATGCACAGCGATCAAGTTGAGAGCAACACAGCATGTCTTTGATCCTGAAAAGGCGATCATTTGAAGCTCCTCTCCTGCTGTTTATAACAATTCAGTGGTTTTTACACATTATAAGAGATGTAGGCTGATCCATCTCCAATTGCACCTGATACTGTGATATCCTCAGCATGGTTTCTGTTGTTTATCTCTGTTATATGAATCACACAGATGCGTCTTCGACTCCGAAGATGAGCTTAGAGACTGTAATCTGTAATCTCTTTTAAGATTTTGATTGGTTCAGTGAGAGACTGGAGATGAATGTGACAGGCATGTTCTGACATTGAACTTACAGCTGATAACACCTCCAAGCACTCTGTGGTATCTTAATGAGACAAAGAAAAAAAAAAGTTTGCTTTAGCGAATAGTCACAAAATTTGTCTGGGCGGCATGATGCACTGTTCAGACTAAAGGTAATCTCAAAACAAACATTCATTACACACATTGTCTTTTATTGTATAGTATGTTAGTTTATAATTCAGTGGGGGGAATGATTATTAGTTTATCCCCTGTTTGTGAGTTTGCTCTCTTACAGAAAAATGAAGAGTCAGCAGTATTTATGGTAGTTTAATTTTAACCGAGAGAGACAGAATATCAACTAAAAATCCAGCAAAAAGTTATACATTGACTTGCATAAATAAATATTTGATCTCCTGCAACAGAGTCTGAATTCTGACTCCTTCAGATGAACGCCTAAATGACTCAGAAAAGTCTTGTAAGAAAGTGATGTGCTCTGATGAAACCAAAATTGAGCCCTTTGGCATCAACTCAACCCGCTGTACTTGTAGGAAGAGAAATGCTGAGTATGACCTAAAAATTGCTATTCTTACATGCAAGCACACCAGAAAACAGAAAGCATAATGTTTCCAAGCGTACAGAATGACTTCACTGCATTGAGGGGACAACTTGCATCGTAAAATCTTCCCGCAGCCAGATCACTTAAGATGTGTCTTTAATAGGACATCCAGCATAATCATGATCCAAAATGAATACTTCCAAGTCAATGAAGGAGTGGCTAAAGAAGACACACATTAAGCTCATGAAGTGGCCTAGCACCTGTCTAGCTCGCAATCCTATAGAAAATCTGCAGAGTGAGCTGGAGCTTCAAGTTGCCAAGCAGCAGCCAAGAAACCCAAAGGATTTAGAGTTTCTGAGAGACTCGTAAAAATCCATTCTGATGTCCAATTATCAGAAGTTAAATCAGAAAAATAATCAGTAGTTAATGTGAGATTCTCTCAGGGCAAATTGAAACAATAGGAAACCAGAAAAACTCCCAAGAGGCTGAAAAGAAGAGCATAACATTAGTGTCAGTCCCAAAAAGTTGATTCTGTTCATCTGGACCTAACATTTTTAGTGGGAGAAGCATTTCATCACCCATCAGTGTATTTAGAAAAGCAGATGATACTCCACGTTCTTCAGTTGGTCCAGAATCAGACCTGTTTGCATTACCAAAACTGTGTTACAAAGATGATTACAACAGCTACAGAGTATTATTTTGAGGAAACACATGTAAATGTAAAGGAATACGAACATTAATTTTAAGTTAATATTTATTTAATCTAGGACTAACAACGCATATGCCAACAAAAGGGCAGTGAACTGAGAGTAACCATTCATTTGCTACATGATTTAGAAATACGATTTAAAGATACGTGATAGGTCACATATCGGTCATGATGCACACCTCTTCATAGTTTCCTTCATTTCCATTTCATCTGTAGTGCAGAAGATTTTGAAAGCACAAGCATACAACCTCTTCTGAATCTTTTTGACTACTTTAAACAACAAAGATTGGACTTTTCACAATATTTTGTATGAAGTTCTAACCTTGCATGTTTTTTCTGCTCTTTTTTTTTTTATCGGTGACAGAGGTGTGTGACAGCCCACTGGTCTCCAGCCTGCCTCCATCATCCTTCAGGAGCTCTTCACAGCTGTCCACCAGCCATGCGCCAGGCTTTGCCAAACTCAACAGAAGAGACGGTAAGGTTTTACTGTTGTTGGGGAGTGGGTCATTCTGTTGTGTTTAATGAGTAGGACTTTGGCTGTGGATTTGAATGCATTGTTTAAAGTGCTGGAGGTTCAAAATAATTGTGTTTCATGACCTAATGCTTGTATTTCACATGCTTTGTCAAAAACATTTCCTTACGTATAGATAAATGGTAAATGAACCATGATGTTTGTCTTTGCTGTCTTGAAGATATAATGGGGCCCGATTACTCAAGATTTTGTGTTGGGGGAGAGTGGTCAGATTAGAGATTAAATATGTTAAATCTTCAATCTTCTATGCAGTCAGGAGATGGAGAGAGCATGAAAAATGATGAAGGGCTCATTTACATTTTGAGAAAAGCTAATTGAGTTAATAAATAAAGTAAATACACTGAAGTTGTTCTTTTCAACATCTACATGCCTGTTTAAATTGCCCCCACTATAGTTAATATACCTGAACTGAGAAAGGCAGGATCGGCTGTGGAACAGCCTGGCTGTGTAGTGCAAGGCAGTGCAGGAGGCCATGGAGAAGCTCAAGAAGTTTGGTTTCTTTGTAAAGTTGGGGGACCGGCCAGTGGAGATGCAGGTTTCTTTTGGGAGCCTGGCTCAGTTGAATTTCCTGGAATGGTGCGAAGGTGAGTGGAGTCCTGTTCATCCAGGATGCTGAATTTGTTGGGGCTTATTTTGATCACAACAACCAAACAGTTAAAACAGCAAAGGATTAAAGAGCAGGTAAACAGATTCACACGACAGCAGGTACGCACACATGCCGGCGGGTACTGAAAGCCAACATCTCACAGATTCTAAAACTGCAGGTTTCGTTACTCTCCGACCAAAATTCACTGAACCAGCAGCATAAGAAGATCAAATCTACGCTTCACGTTTGGAAAACATTGTCATGAATTTCCTGTTACTTTGGCTATTTTGCTTCTAACACAATAAAATCCCACTTCCTGCACAGCTCTCTCTGTGTACTTCAAGAACTGTTTCCCATCAAAAATCCCTATTCTGCATTATTTGCTTGCTTATTGTGCACCAGTCAAATGTTTGTACAGTGTTGTTGGGTGCTGTTTTTGTTTGTTGTTTTTTTAATAACCTCCAACAAGAAAGAAAATTTCCTGGCCAGGAAAATCTCCTTCATATTTTTCAGTGTTTTATCCTAAGTCACACTGACACAAAGGCATCTGCTGTGACGCTTGCACCTCTGATGAAGTCTCACAAGTGTCAGCTTTGTTTTTATACCAAGTTTACACTGAGTGTGTCATTGCAGAGAAATATTCAAATACGTTTGAATTAAATATTTTTAATATACAAGGTGTGAAGGGTTATTTTGACACTACATATCCAAGACAAATTATCATAATTATAATATTTCTGAGTCAAAATTAAATTGAATTGAATTAAATCAGGATCTTGTGAATCAGTATTGAATCAGTTGTAGAAATGATACCCAGCCCTACTGATAACTTACTGATAATCTCACTACAGATGAATACTGGCCAGGTTTTTCTAATCCTTATTATTTATTCTATTCAAGCATGTTTAAATATAGTGTGTACAACAATATTTTTTATATACACACAGTAGTAGAAACTTGCTTGAGAGACAGAGAGTTAAATGTGATTTAAAACACAACATTTCTTAAATGTAAATGCAATGATGCAAATGATTTTGTGGATCTGTTTGTTGGTGTGATGCTTCTTGAGTGGGGAATAGCATTTTAAAACAGAGGCGTTGCTCTGCAGCAGTGGAGATCAGCTGAAGAAATACTTTTGTAAAGTTCTGGCCTCAAAGCACAAAACACCAAACAGGATTTTTTTTCCTTACTTGATTTACCTAGACAAACAGACAGCTCACTGGTGACTAGTTTAGAGGTAGACAGAGGATCAGAATAATTTATAAGAAAGAAGAATACGCACCAGTTGCTTTGCCTTATTCTCTGTTGATGCCATTTGTATTGGATGCTGATACTAGAAGGATTGCTGTGTGGTGTTTGTTTGTCCAGCATGAAAACCCAGCAGGGAATCTTGTGTTGGATGCTGATGTGAAGCTTTGACAAAATGAAGATTGTGGTTTGTTGTGGAGCGTTCTGCAGGGAGCAGGCTTCAGTGTTTTATCCTGACATCAAAGCTCTAAATCAGCTGGGAGGGTGAGATGGGTTTAATCTGGATCTGAATGATTTCAACCACCTGGGAAACAAAGAATCCGAGCATGGAAAAACTGTGCTACAGCCGAGGCTGTTGCCAATTTGTTCTCCTGTCTTACAAGTCAACAACTTTGCTCTGAAATGTTGCTTAACTTTAGGTTAATGACAAATCAAGTTCTCTTTTCATTGTATTGCATAAATGATGGTTTGAAAAGTGTAGAGATTTTGGCAAGTCATAGAGAAAAGGTGACAGGAAGTTAAAATGAGGTAACAAATGCAGACACCCCGACAGTCTGGAAAATCAGCTGGAGATAGTGTTAATAAAATTTACTGGAGAACAAAGTGAAAAACTTAACGGGTTTAAAATCAAATCCAAATGGTAACACAACTCAAAAGAAGAAACATAAAGGCAACCACGGATGGGTGAGCAGGTTGACAGCAAGGCTGAGAGAGACAGGGGGAGGGAGACAAGATGATGTAGGGCTGACAGAGAAATAAAGGATAGAAGCAATCAGGATATCACAGGTGTGAGTGGATAAAGGCATGAAGAGTCAAGAATTACTTTCAAAATAAAATTCCTAATAAAAATTAGTACGGTTAGAACTGTTGCCTCACAGCAAGAAGGTCCCCTGTCTCTCCGTATTAGCCCTGCGTCGGATTGGCGAAATGTCCAGGGTATACACTGCAGTGTTCAAGATCACAGGCAGAAAAAGTAAAATAGGAACTAGAAACAATGACTCTCAAGATGAAAGACAATCTAGAATGGAAAAAAAAGATCTACCACCTTATATTTTTTTATTTTCCTCAATGTGATTAAGTATATCAGTTTACCATTACCATAAAAAGACCAAACTTAAATTAGTAATGGATACCATTTACTTGCTACAGTTTCCCAAGTCTGCTATTGTGCTTTTTGGCACACTGTCACACTGCTACGACTTACTGGCATCCTTACATAGAGCATAATTTTGGTTAATGAACTGCCTGTGCTTTTCCTGTTATTGGCATGTTCTGAAAAAGACCTTTTTCCCCACTATGTTGTTCTTATTGGTAGTAGTGGAAGTGATGTCACTGACTTTTGACTGATTTGTGAATAAAGACTGCAGGAGGTAAACAGCAATCAAAGGACTTTTTTTCAGTTTTTGTGGCTGGAGCTATTTGTGAGTTTATTCTGGGATGAAACCAGGGTGTAATTTGACCGGGTCTACACGTCCCTGCTTCAACTAAAGGATTTTTTAAGCCCGGTGGGGATAAAAATGTATCCCCCTCTGATTTTAACATCCTGAAACACTCTGCAGTAAAAAGACATTGACTTTCACTTTCAGAACTTGTGATCCTGTGACTGCAAACAGGACACTGTTGGGGGGGGGGATGATCTGTTTCCTATTCCATACATCTTTGATTATGCCACCATTATACCACTGCTGTTTCAATGTGAAAACTACCACTAACTAAATAAAAGAAAAACTTAAAGAATTTTGTAAATCAGATTTTACAACAGAATCACACAAAAAATACATCCATCCATTCGCTTCCGCTTATCCTTTTCAGGGTCGCGGGGGGCGCTAGAGCCTATCCCAGCTGTCATAGGGCGAGAGGCGGGGTACACCCTGGACAGGTCGCCAGTCTGTCGCAGGGC